GGCCCGGGCCCGGCCCGGTCCGAACGGTCATAACGGCCATTTTTGCGCTTTTGATCAAAATACCTTAAAAGGGTTAAAAACGGCCAAAATTTGAGGGTATTTTGATCATTCGGCTAGAGGGCTGCCTCTATAAATGGAGAAAGTTTTTATTTGTTTTTCTCATCCAAAACTCATCTACTTCTCTCTAATACTCACAAATATTCTCTAATACTTTCTTATTCTCACTTTTTCTCTCTAATTCTTTAATCAAATAGCTTATTCTCTGACTATGAATGGCCAATCCTAATTCCTGATGTTTAAACGAGTCCTAATACTCCTACTACATGAGCTACAGTTACTCATCCTACGAATGTTGATAATGAATCTGGTGGCGATGATTCTGCATCTAGAACTCCTAAAAGCCCAAGATCTGATGTGTAGAACTTCTTCGAAAAGATAGAAGTCACCAGGGATCAATACGGTAGGCTTCTGACCTAGAAGGTTGTGCGTTGTGCGGCTATATATTCCAAGTTTATCATAAAAGTGGCACCAACCACCTCAAACGCCAGTTAGAAAAGTACAATAGAGGTCAGACAATGCCTCAAGTTGATATTCGATAATTTTTACTCTCCCAATTCTCATCCTCCAGTAGTCTCGGTAGTTGGAACTATGATGCAATTAAAGCCAAAAAATGCGTTATCAGGTTTATTGTTCTTAAAAACATTCCTTTTAAATTAGTAAAAGATGTTGAATTTGAAGATATGATTAGAGATGGTTTTTATCCTGCATTTAAAAAAATTTCTCGTCAATCTTGTCAATATGATATTTTAAAATATTATCATGAGGATCAAGCAAAAATGATTTTTTATTTTCAAAATTTATACTGTAAATTTTTTAAACTTCTGATATTTGGACATCTAGAGTACAAACTGATTATTTATGTATCACTGCACACTAGATTGATGATGATTGACAAATGTTTAAAAGAATTATTTCTTTTATTGTATTAGTATTAATATTACAAATTTAATAATAGAAGAACTTATAAAATTAGAAATTTTAGAAAAAATATTTTCTCTTTCACTAGATAATACAAGTAAGAATAATGTAGCTGTTGAACATATCAAATCATCTTTGCTATTGCCATGTCATGGTGATAATTTTCATATTAGAGATATGTGTCATATTTTAAATTTAATTGTTCAAAGTGCATTTGATGAAATTAAATCCATGATAGAAAATGTTAGGACAATAGCTAATGCTCATAATGCTTCTGAACAAAGACTTAAAAGATAGAAACAATTGTATAAAAGAAAAAAATTTTAAACCTAGATTAATTCCAAAAGATGTTAACCATAGGTAAAATTCTACCTACACAATGTTAAATGTAGCAATAGAGTATAAAAAATTATAAATAATTTTATCGCTTTCTATACTTCTAGTTCTAGCTCTGATAATATGTATGGAATAACTAATGATGAATGGTTAGTTATATATAGTGTAAAAGAGATGTTACAAGTTTTTTATGATTCTACTATGTTATTATATGCTTGCTATTATCCAACTATTATTCAAATTGGTTAACAAGTTTTAAATATTCAAACTTTTTTAATAATTGTTGTATGGATAATTATTTTGGAAGTATAATTTTTTCAAATAGAAAGTAAATTTATTAAGTATTTTAGGTCTATTCCTATTAGCTTTGGTTAGGGGTTCTTATTTATCCATGTTTGAAGGATGTTGGCCTTCAAAATTTGTTAAATTCTTTGTATGGTAACATGATAACACTAATGATGGTCAAACTATTACTGCTCTTACTCATCATATTAATATTAGAACTTATTTTCAAAGATTATATGATGAGTATGCTGTTAGATATGGTGTAAGTACACATCAACCTACAGCTTCTGCTTCTATAAGTTCAACTCGGGGCAAATGTAAGAGTTTTGATAGAGAATTATTGATAGATCAGCTAACTGGTGGATCTTGATCTAGATCATCAATGAAAGTTTTTGAAATTGAACAATATTTAACTGCATCTTTAGTTAAAAGTTAAAATAATAGTTTCTATATTTTGTATTGGTGGAGAGTATATGGAACAGTTTTTATATCCTATACTTTTTATCATGGCTCATGACTTACTAACAGTGCAGGTTTTTACGGTAGCTTCGGAATTTGCCTTCAGCACATCAGAATGTTTGATCGATGACCACAGGACATCGTTAGATCCGTCTACTGTACAAACGGTAATGTGCCTACAAGATTGGTGGAGCTACGAGAAGAGGACTCAAGACATCGATCGGATGGCTAGTATTGAAGATAAACTCTAAGAGTTGGGAATATGAGATTAAGATAAAGAGTAAAAATTATTCATTAGTTTATAATTTTTTTCTTAGCTAAAAATTTGTTAATAAATTATTTTGGAAAGAGTTGCAAATGATATTGATATAGATGAGTAGATATAGATGAGTAGGTGCAAACCTAGTTGGGATATATTCATCTATTGTGATGCGACAAATTCCAAAATTATTTTGTAATTGTTAGTGATAAACCGATTATTAATAAAGAATTTATTTATTTTTATCATTTTAATTTCTAGTATTTGTAAATTATATAATTATAATAATATGACTGATTTTTTTATCAAAATTTTGCTTAATTTATTGTTATTTACTCTTGAAAATTTTCTAATAAAAAAATAAAATTTTAAGAAAAAAAAAAAGAACATGACCAGGCCGGCCCGGGCTCGGGCGGGGACCCGACCTAGGCCAACCGAGCCCGGGTCCCGACCACGGGTTTTGCCCGGTCCGGGCCTGGTTGGGTCGGGCCGGCCCGTTTAGATAAGCTTACCCTTTGAGAAACTTAATTAGTACCAAGTTTCTCCAGTTTTTTTAATCCACCCCTGCCATTCTAATTTAGTATTGAATCGGTTTAGAAGGAAAGTAGTTTATCCTCCCCTTGCAAAACTGAGCCTAAAGGTCTTGACAACACACTGAATTATAATTAATAATGTATATATACCATGTGACATTAGGTGTTGTATATAGATAACAAAAAGTTAAGAAACGAGTGATCTCCTCAAATAGAAAGCTAGCTCAACTCCAAATAGATTAACATTTAAGTTAAATCGATCTTCATCCTATGTTCAAGACCGATTAACTTTCAGATTAAACCTGTCGCCTCAACAATCAAATGTCCAAATACTAATGAAAAAAAAGAAGTTTTGAAACAATTAGCGTGTAAGCCTTAATAGCACTAGGAGGTACTGTATCTGCATTTTAGACTAAACCAATGAATGACCAACGTAGCGAAAGTCACTTCATTTCATCACCCTATAAGCACAAATTAAAGAAATTGGAAGAAAATTAAAAAAAAAGGAAAAAAAAGGAATTGCAAAACATCCCTATGACTCAAGCTTAACTACTATTTCGCTACTTTCACCACCACCATTGACCCCACCCTTACTCCCCACCATCTCAACAAGAAAATCAAACACGTCGGTCGCCGCCACCGCTGCCGCCACGTCCTCCTTATGCAGCGTCCTCCTCTTCCCCTGTAGCGTCACCATCCACGACCTCACCGTGATCTCCTCTATAAACAGCTCGCACGCCTTCGAGAAAACTATCGGGGCCTCGCCCGATATCATCTTCACGTCCTCCCCCGACCTCTTCATTATCTTCTTGATCCTTGCGAGAGGAAGCGAGTGTGGGCCGGTTCGGCCCGATATACCGCCGGAGAGTATGCCGGAGTAAGCACCCGCTTGCCTCATTGTTTGAAGTCGTTGAAAGCTTCTGGCGTGTGTGTGTGTGTTTGGGTCGTCTAATTAGATTTTGTATATATGTTTTTATTTATAGGGAGTGCAGTTTGAAGGTGCATGTGACCGAGGACGGTTGATCAGAATGCTGCTGCATGCGCGCTGATGGATGCTGCCGGCCTGTTGGAGGCCAAGGGCCGGCAAATATTTTCAAATACTGTAATAATTAAGTTTAGATGTGACTTGTGATCCTAATCAACTTCTCTCGGGCTGGATATATGTATACATATTTGATCATAGTTGGAGTTAGCTATATGTGAAAGAGATCAGAGATTGATAGAGATGGGTTGAAAATGTTTACGAGAAGGTGTTACGATATTATTATTTTATGGCGATTTTTTTTGTGATTAATTAAGCATGATATGGTTTTATATTAGCAGCATGTCGACCAGCAATGGCAATTAATAATCCGTGCGTACAGAAGAGATTGGCTCAGTGAATCATTCAAGGTAAGGTGCGTAGAATTTTTCTCTGCTTCGCAAAATCAAATGATTAAAAAAATTTCTAAATATAAATGTACTAGGGATAATTGTTAAAACAAACTCTACGTTTAAGTATTAAAAAAAAATTGTTGTAGACTTGGTAGAGGACAACTATCACATACTTAATATCTGCATGGAAGTTCAAAGTATGGTGGAATTATTGTTTTAGTATGATTTATGTGATTAAAGAAGCCTGTTGGGCTTTATATTAGCTGCGTATCCGCCGTACCTACACACAAAAAGGTGGGTAGAATTTTTCTCTCCTTCCCAGCGTCAAACGATTAAAAAAATTCGAGATTATAAAGAATTTAGAAAATTTTCCGGGACATTATTAAGCATATTCTATTTTAAGTATTCAAACGAAAAAAATGTGGTATATGTTGTGATACCAACTGTATATGCGAACAGATATACACTTGATATGCATGAAGGTTCAGCGCCGGGAACTAAATACGTACTGATTACTGACGAAGTCATCTCTATCTGGCTTTGATATATATGATATATATAGGTGCAACGGTAGAAACGAACCAAATAATTAATAAATAGTTCGTCAATTGTTCATGTAATTATTCGGTTATATTCTATTCCCTAGTTCATTTAACATTGAAGAAATAATTTTTAGTATTCGAGTACTTCAACAATTAGAATTTAACCAGATATATATATTTGATTCTTATTCGTATAAAATATTCGCTTGTAATTTATATCAATACACACATGATGTTATATTTTCAAGCCACTTATCACCTCTACTTAAGTTTTATGTACTAATTTTGAGACTTAAATAATCTAAAATCTTTTTAATAAAATTTTTGAATTATACACACACATACACACATCATATATTGTAAAGGAATAATTTTCATTTATGATTTTAAATATTATTTGAAAATCAAATTCTTTTGTGGAATGAATATACTTTATATTTGATAAAAATTCATGTACGTTTATCAAATACTAAGTATTCGAGTTCGAATTTGAAAAACTCTAGATATGGATAATATTAGAAATCAACTTCGAATTTGGAAATTTTAAATAAATAGAAATAAGTGTTATGCATGTGCTCACATGTTTGATTTCTTTGAAAATTGAATTATACACAAAAAATTTTCTTTAGTCAACTGCTCCTCCAAAAATAGATAACTTGCGTTGGAGTTTTTCTTATAAGGGGTTGTTTAGTTGGTTACCAAATAACGCTTAAAACATATTTCATGACTTGAATCCCATTCCAGGAGTTTTAGGATTGAAATGAGTTTCATGAAAAAACTGATGCGGTGGGGCTAATCAAAATGTCTTTACATAGATTATCAAATCAATCAAACACAACAAATGTAAACCTTTTCTAGCTTGAGAATTCCAAAGGTGATGTGGTAAGCATGGAAACCAATTTCATCCTTTTACAATACGTACGAACCAAACATTCCCTAAAGGAAATAAAAAATAAGAATATATGTAAGTTTTATAATTAAAAGTCAAATTGGATGGATTAAGCACTAATTCCTCTTTTATAGTATCTCCTTTCTTTTATAACATTTCAAAATTAAAAACAACATAAAACATATAATCTCACTTAATAAGTATGTGGCTGGTTTTCATTTCAAAATTTCAAATTAATTGTTTTCTTTTCCATCTCTATCTTTTTATGTAGTACAATTTATTCTTCTGCTAATGGAATAACATATTTTCATAACTTATGACATCTCACTTGATTCTCATGTCCATTTAATTTTAATTCTTATCTTAATTTGAAAGGCAAGATAAGTTATAACAATAGCAACAACTAATCTGTTCTTCAATAAATATAAGGTTTTCATGTATAACCACCAATATTCATCCTCTCCATAAAAAGTGAAATATGGATAGATTTTACTAACTCCCAATAAGTTTATGCGTTTAACACTAAACCCCCAATATTTTTAAAAACCTCACTAAAAATCCCCAAAAACTTTTGGTGGAAAGTTCCTAAATTAACATTATTAGTTAAAGTGTGGTCAATTGACAAAAATACCTCTAATAAATTAAAAAAATAACACCTAATAAATTTTTAGTTTTTTCACTTAATGCCAAATAACTTTTGATAGAAAATCCATAATAAGGATTACTTGCTATTTTAATGATTCCTGTAATTTTTAGAGTTTTTAGGAGATTGTTTCTAAATTTTGAATTTTTTTGAAAAACTAATTTTTAGATTTTAAAACAGATTGTTATAATTTTCAATTTTTGTGATGAGTTATTTGTGATAGTCAAAATTTATTATCAGTTCTTTGTATTTTTTTTTTTGTTTTTTAGGTCTTTTCACATTTTTTTTGATGAGTTTTTAGAGGACTTTGAGTAATTTTAGATTTTTTAAGGAATTGTTTATAATTTTGATACTTTTAAGGGATCTATTTGTTCTTTTGGAGTTTTTAGGGAGTCATCTATATGTTTTAGAATTTAAAGTGGGTGGCTAGTTATTTGTAGATTATCTAGGGGGTTCTTTATAATTTTTAGAATTTAAAGGTTTTTTATAATCTTTTGATTTTTCATGAGGTTATTTGTAGTTTTATATTTTTCAAAGGCCAGTATATGATTTTATTTTTATTTTTTAGGAGTTGTTCATAAGTTATTGGGATAATTTGTAAATATTACTATTAAGGGATATATTACTATTAAGGGATAGTATTCGTCAGTGTATAAGTAAGTATGTGCAATACCCAGGTTAAGTGCAAAAAATAAAAATATTTTGGTAATTTTATGAATTCTAAATTAGTTTTGAATTTAAAAAAAAAATTGTTGACTTAATGTCAAAATCTAAACTTATTAGTGGTTTAGTGAATTTATCTTTTAAAAGTTTTAGGAGAGTCATATGATAATTTTTTAAGATGTAAGGCTTAATAATAAACAACTAATTCTTTTACATATATACAAAAGAGAGGAGAATTTTAAATGAGATAATTAGACTTTCTAATTATGGATAATTAAAGAAAATTTAAAATGTGATTATATGATTAGACTATAATTAGAATTTTATAATTACAAATAGATTTAATTTGTTGGCAATTGATATTACAGTCAGCTCTCTCTCGTAACCGCCCTTCTCTAGGGTTTTGAAAACCCTAGTTTTTAGTCGGCTCTCTCTCTTGTAGCCACCCCCTCTCTAGGGTTTTGAAAACCCTAAATCTCAGTCCGTTCCTTTTCCTCTCTAGAAGCGCGTAACACTTCTCTCCCCCTCCCTCTTGACGGATCTCCATCGGCATGATCGTCTCTTTTTATTTTTTTTCTCTGGCCGGTTTCTACAATCTTTGTGAGGCATGACCCTTTCTGTCTCACTCCGATAGTTTTACGGTGAATTATTTGGTAAGATCTGAGTCTCGTACCCAACCCTCATGGCAGTCTTCTGGGTTTCCCACATCTCGGCCTCCGTTGTAGCTGTCTCTCGGCTCACATGAACGTCATCGCCGTTTCATAATTAATTAACGGCATCGTCGTTTCATATTTATTTAACGGCATCATCGTTTCATATTTATTTAACGGCATCGCCGTTTCATATTTAATTAATGGCATCGCCGTTTCATATTCAATTAACAGCATCAACGTTTCAGGGCCGCCTTTCGGTCTCCAATTAACGACATCACCGTTTAAGCCGTCTCTCAGACTCAAATTAAGGGTGTCATGTTTTAAGACTGACTATCGGTCTCATATTAACAGCATCACTGTTTCAAGTAGCCACTCGGCTCCAAATCAATTTGGAACATGGTGAGAATTAATGATGATAGGCTGGCCGAGCTTTGTGCCAAATGCAGCTTAGACGACAAAGATAGCCTTTTTTCTGTCAACTAAGGACCGGACAGATTCGCCTTCCCTTAACAAATGTCTCTTGGGGAAGGTTTTTAGTAGGAAGATTGCTAGTAGAGATGGTCTTGAGCGTGTCCTTAGGAAGGTATGGATTGTAGATGCCCCCTTCCAGGTGGAACATCACAGTGGAAGGAATACTTTCCTTTTCAGATTTAGTTCCGATGCAGATAGGGAGAAAGTGCTTGATGGTGGGCTATGGTGCTTTGAAAGGAACTTGTTCAATTTGATTATTCCTCGTGGGGTCAGTGCCCCAACTTCTATGGATTTCTCTTCAACTTTATTTTAGGTAAACGTCACGAATGTACCACTACCTGCAATGAATGAGAGGTGCGCCAGAGACTATGGCTCGCTTATAGGAGAACTTAAAGGGATTGATTTGCAGGATAACAATATGCGGTTGAGAATTCTCGTGGATATTACTAAGCCTCTAAAAAGAGGCATACGTGTTTGCTTTGAAGAGACTGGAGAGATTGAGAAGCTCTTCCTCACCTATGAGAGACTTCCTGACTTTTACTTTTCATGTGACATTATTGGCCACAAAGCTGCTGAGTGTGACAAATGAAGTGTACAAGTCGATGGTATTTTTATCACATCCAAAAGAAGATACGGTTCTTGGCTCAGAGAACCCCCTCCATC